CTCTGGGCTGGGTGACACCCTTGGGTCCCCTCAGGGCAGGAGCAGCACTGCCACCAGCTCTGGGTCCGTGTCCCCCCCGTGTCACCCCACCACTGACCCCCCAAACCACGGCCACACCCGAGGGGTGACAGCGGGGACAGGGAGGGCACCCAGACCCGCGCCCAGCGCTCTACTGGGCAGACTGGGAGGCCACTGGTGGGGCACGGGGGCCACCTGCTGGGCAGAGGGGACAGTGCCACCGCCGCCGGCCGGACAGAGGGGACACAGCGAGGGGTGGCACTGTCCCCCCTGCCCGGCTCCCGCCGCAGGGAAAGGGACAGAGCCCGGGGCGCTGGTGGCACCAGGGTAACACCAGGGGTTACACCAGGTGACACCAGCAGTGGCCCCAGGAGTGACACCAGGGATGGCCCTAGGGGTGGCCCCAGGAGGTGACACCAGGAGTGGCCCCAGGAGGTGACACCAGGAGGTGACACCAGGAATGGCCCTAGGGGTGACACCAGGGGTGGCCCCAGGAGACGACACCAGGAGGTGACACCAGCAGTGGCCCCAGGAGGTGACACCAGCAGGTGGCACCAGCAGGTGACACCAGCAGTGGCCCCAGGGGTGACACCAGGGGTGGCCCTAGGAGGTGACACCAGAGGTGGCTCCAGTGGCCCCAGGATGACACCAGGAGGTGACCCCAGCAGTGGCCCCAGGATGACACCAGGAGGTGACCCCAGGATGACACCAGGTGGTGACACCAGCAGTGGCCCCAGGATGACACCAGGAGGTGACCCCAGCAGTGGCCCCAGAGGTGACACCAGGTGACACAAGCAGTGGCCCCAGGGGTGACACCAGGAGGTGACACCAGTAGTGGCCCCAGAGGTGGCCCAGGGACACCCAGCAGCACCCGGGCGTGCTCAGGGGGGAGGAGGAGGAGGAGGAGGAGGAGGAGGAGGAGGAAGGTCAGGATCAGCTCCAGCTTCCAGCTGCGGGAATTTAAAGCGGGATGAGAGGGGACAAACCAGGCGACAGCGCTGTCACCTGCCCCAAACACCCCCTCGGGGTTCCCTCATCCAAAACCTGCAGTAATTAACAACTCTGCCTAATTACCAAGCACTAATTCCGCAGCCTCACCTGCGGGAACTTTTCCAGGAAAACCTCGGGATCCACGGGCGAAGGGATGGGAGCGGCGGATGCCTCGCGGTCCCTCAAGAAATTCCTAAAAATTCCTAAAAATCGGGATTGCGGAAGGAAATCAGAGCTGGAAAAGGAATTGTTGAGGTTGGAAAAGAAGCTCCAGGTGGAAAAATTCCCGGAGATGAGGACTGGGAGGAGATCCCTGTGGATCACAGCTGGTCCTGGTGGGGTACGGAGCCTCCAGGGACCAAAGAACAACCGGATTTCAAGGTTTATATGGATTTTATTTTAAATAAAAATGGGGGAAAAAAGGAAAATAAAAATAAATTTATGTTTTTTGAATGATACACGATTATTGGAGTGGTTTTAGCCAGAGGAGAGGCCAGCGTTAAAAAAAAGGGAGAAAAAGGAAAAATAAGAAAGAGTCGACTCAAGCAAAGGGAAAAATCACGCCGGGATCACCTCCTGAGGTTTCACCCCACAGGAAATTGGCGCGGGAAAGGGAATTGTGGCTGTTGCAAAGTGGGAGAAGGGAAAAATTTAAAAAAAAAATGGGGGAAAAGGATAAAAAATTAATTTTATTTTAAATTTTTGATTTTAAAAATGGAAAATTGTCAAATATATTGTAGGTGGAGGGAGGGGGATGTGGCACAGTTGAGGGTTCAGGGTGAGGCAGAGCATCCAAAATTCCCAAAAAATCCCGAATTCAGATCCCAAACCTGGCTCAGGAAAACTCTGAGAAAGAGGGGCTTGATTTTCCTTGAGTGGAAAAAAAAACTCGAGGGGAAAAAGGAGCAGGGGGAGGAGGCAAAATTTGTTCCCAAAGCAGCTCCAAAAGCAAAGTTTGGCAGAGAATTCCTGGAATTCCCAAAGGGAAAGAAGAAAAAATCCTAAAATTAAAACTAAATTAAAATTGAAATTGAAATTAAAATTGAAATTAAAGTTGAAATAAAATTGAAATAAAATTGAAATTAAAATTGAAATTAAAATTAAGCTGAAAATTATCCATAAAAATCTCTCTTGCTCCATCTTTTCATCCAGATTATTGGGGAATTTTTACACGTGGAGATGGGGGAAGATTTTTTGGGAGAAAAAAGGAGATTTGGAGTGGGAAAGATAAAATGTAGGAGGGGGTGGGACAGGAGCAGAGCCCAAATCTCACCCAGGACAATCCTGGCAGCTGGATTTTCCTGCCAGGAAAAATCCTGGGATTTCTCACAGCTTGGGAAACGCTGGAAATGTGAATTTTTGTGGCTCTGCTCGGTACAAATTCCATGAATCCATTCCCAGCCAGCTGCGCTTTCTCAAATTTTGGGGTTTTTTTTTTTTGGGAATTCCAGTTTAGAGTTCCCCATCGAGCATTTGGATTCCCTAAATCCACGTGAAGGAGATTAAAAAAAAACCCTACAAGGGAAAAAGGAGGGGTGAGGGAATTAGAACACTATTTTTATACAATATTGAAAAAATACAAATTTTTATTGTGTTTTTTTTTTGTTGTTTTTGGTTGCCTTTTTTTGTTTTTTATCTTTTTGTTCTGTTTTTTTTTGTCGTTTTTTTCTATTTTTTGAAGCTTTTTTTTTTAAACTGAAATCACCACCCAGCACTTGACTCTACTCCTAATTAGCACCTACAATTAAAAGTTTATAGCACAAGCAAAACTGCCAGGGCAGCAGGAAAAAAGCGATTTAAACGTGGCCCCTCCCTCCCCGAAATTAATGAGCGAACAACGTGCTAGATTAAAGAGTTAATTACATCATTACATGTTAAATAATTAATATTACCCCTCCCAACAAGCCACAAATGCTAGATAGAGAATTTCAGCACAGTACTAGCCCTACATCACTGCTGGAAAAGGATTGGGAATAAAAATCAAAATCAAAATAAAAACGAGAGGGAAAATTGATACCCGGAATGAAGAGAAATTATTTGGTTTAATAATTAATAGAAATTATTGGGAAGGAAATTCACTTTTTTTTGTTGTTTTTTTGTTTTGTTTTTGTTTTTGTTTTATTAAGGAAAAAATCATGCCAAAGCCAAGTGGGACTTGATGGAGTTTTTTTTCTCCCCCACCCTCCCCTCCCTGAAAAAAAAAATGAAATTAAAGGAATTGATTGTGCTTTTTTTATGAATCTGTGATTGGGTTGGAATTTCCCAACCCCCAACTCGAAAGAAAAAGGAAACAAACCCCAAATAATTCTAGGAAAATGCTAAATGTGCCAGTCTGACATTCAAAACTCTGCTCCAGAGTCGCTCAGGGTGGGTTGATTTTTGTTTTGTTTTTTTTTTTGTTGTTTTCCTGCAGCAAAAATGAAAAACATTTTATTCAAATCCCTCGGAAAAAAAAAAAATTAAAAAAAGAAAATCCCCAAAAGAAAACAGCAAATAACATTCAGCTTTAAAAATCCATCTCAGTTTGAATGCACAATTATCCCAAATTCAAGTATCCCGGCATTCCAAGGAGATTTACTCATCAGATTTTTAGGAAAAACAGAAAAAAAAAATTTAAATAAAAAATTCTTTCAGCTTGCTGTAAAACACCAGGAGAAATCCAACATTCCAATTCTCAAATATCCTGGAAAATAAACCTAAAAAAAAAAACCCCAAACCAACCAATAAAAAAAAACCCAGAGTGTGAACTAATTTGTTTCCTTAATTGGTGCTTTTTCAGGCTATTTTTTTTTTTGTTTTTTGTGGTTTTTTTATTATTCAGCTTAAATTTTGTGGATTTTTTTTTTTCCCATATTTGTTAACTTTTAAGGAATTTTTATCCTGTTGTACACACACAAGCAGATGGGAACCGAGCTGGTGCAGAAAGGGAGGAAAGAAAAGATTTAAAAAACCCCAAAAAACCAAAAAAACCAAAAAAACCTCCCCAAAAAACCCAAAAAAAAGGAAAAAAAAAAAGGAAAATCAAAACCAGCGCCGATGGATTGGTGGATTTTGGCCAAATTCCGTGGATCTGAAGCTCTGGCAAGGCAAATCCATCCGGTCAGAGGAATTCCCAGGACACAGCAAGTGTTTTTCAGGTGTCTAAATCAGATTTCCAGCAAAATAGGGAGGGAAAAAGACAGAAAAAAAAATAAAAATATAATAATAATAATAGTAATAATAATAATAATAATAATAATAATAATAAAGCCAACTCGAAGCCATTTAAGGGCAGCAGGTTCCAAAGTGGGGACAGAGGAAGAGTTTCGCTTCCACGTGCTCCGGGTTAATCCCAGTTCCAAGAGAATTTTTATCCGTGAAGGTTCCGGGTGGTTCTTCCCTCCCAGCAAAGGGAACGATTCCTAATCCAGACCAAGCAAAGGGAACAACATCCAAAGCTTTTCCAAAAGGGAAATCCATCAGTGCTTGTCAGTCCCTAAAGTTCAGGAGGGCAGGGAGGAGTCCACAGCAAGAAATTCCGAGTTTTTTGTTTCCGGTTTCGGTGTTTTCCGGAGCTCCATGCTTTTGGATTTGGGTTTTTTTTTGTTGTTGTTGTTGTTAAATCTTATTTTTTTTATGTTTTCAAACATAATTTGGAGGAGCCCCTTCCATCCCTACACAGCTAAAACCCCCCAAGGTTTTTAAACTCGGAGGTAAGGTCAATATCCCAGGTGGAAACCTCGATCCGACAGCAAATCCCTTTCTTTTATTTAATTTTAATTTGAATTTTTGTGGTTTTGGTTTCTTTTTTTTTTTTAAATGTTGTTTTTATTTTGTTAATTCCCTCCCTCCCAGGGCAGCTGTTTGGTAGCCAAAAATGGAAAAAAATAAAAATAAAAATATCTCAATGCATGCATCCAGGTTGCATATTGCTACCAGAATGGAATGTTGGGAATACTCTAACGCACCTCGGGAATGGGGAAAATGACCGAGAAAAAACAAAAAAACAAAAATCAAGATCTAAAGGGTGATATATATATATATATCTATATATATATCAATGCTATAATTCATAAAAACCTTGTTTTAGTAATAAAAAAAATTGCTTTGTTTAAATATGAATATTATAGTCTGCTTCTCATGGTTAGGAAATTAGAGTGTCTCTGAAAAGCAGGAGGGCTCCTCTACTACAATTCCATATCCTGAGCCTCATCTTCCGAGAAATCGGACATGGAGCTCTCGGATGAGCTGTCCCCGGTGCCTTCTTCCTGTTCTTTTAGTGCTTCTTCTGTTGCATATTTCTGGATGTATTCTGTATGGGAGAGAGGAAAAAAATATATATATATATAATTAAGGGATTAATTTATTTATTTTATATATAGATATTTATATATTATATATTAATATATAAATATTTATATATATATAAATAATTAAGTGATTTTTATATTTTTATATATATATTTATATATTTCTATTTATATATATATAAATAATTAAGTGATTTTTATATTTTTATATATATATTTATATATTTCTATTTATATATATATATATAAATAATTAAGGGATTAATTTATATACTTTATGTATTTTTATATTTTTATATTTTATATATCTATAAATAATTAAGGGATTAATTTATATAGTTTATATATATTTATATCTTTATATGTATAGAAATAATTAAGTGATTACTTTATTATTGATATATATTTATATATTTTTTAATATATATTTTTATATATTTATATAGATATAAATAATTGATTAATTTATTATTTATATATATTTATATACATTTTATATATTCTTTATATATTTATATATTTTTATATATATAAATAATTAAGTGATTATTTAGATATTTTTTATATATATTTATATATATTTATATGTATATATTCATATATATTTATATTTGTATGTATTTATATATGGATATTTTTATATATATTTATAATCTTATTATAACTTATTATTTCATTATAGTAAATATTAGAAATAAATGTATTACTTTATATATATTTATATGTTAATTTTTTATTTTATATATATTTATATATGTATGTATTTATATATAGATGTATATATTTATATATTTATACATGTATCTATTTATATATATTTATTATTTCATTATAATTGATTTATCATTTTATTATAATAAATATTAGAAATAAATTCGTTATTTTACATATATATTTATATGTTAATTTTTTATTATATGTATCTATAGCTATATATATCCTAAAATAAATATATATATCCTAAAATAAACTAATTCTTTTGGGATCCTGGGTTCTCCAGGTTTGAAGAAAACTCCTGAGCTCCTTAAAATCTCGTTTCTCCTGTTTATTACAAGGTCATTACAAAACTTGGCAGACTGGCTGCACAAGTTTAATTGTAATTTAATTGTAATTAATTGTAATTTAATGCAATTTGGTTCATTTCTTTCTGATGGTACAACAAGGCCTTGTGGCTCACTTTGTGTTTTAAAGCACAAAATGGCCTCAAACTATGCAGTTCTTTTATCTTTATACTTATTTTTATCCAATTAACAATAGACAGGTTAATTATTTTCCTTAATGACCCAATGATCCATCACCTGTGTGCTGCACTGTGACATTTTCTGCCCAATCACCTATTACCCAAAAACCTCTAAAAGAAAATTAAGAAAGAAGGAAAAGAAACAAAATTCTAAATTCTCCATCTTGCCTTCTGCTTTCTAAACTTTAATTCTTCACCCAGTGACTTAAGAAAACTTTAATTTACACACTCACACTTTTAACTTTTTTATCTAACTTTAACAATTGTTTTCATGTATCACCATGAAAACACGCCCATAAATTTCATGTTGTATGAAATTCAGTGTTTTTCTGGATTTTAGAGTTAAACACTCTGTGTTTCACACTCCCAGCACTTTGATTTAAATTTAAATTTAATTGAATTTTTACCTTTAATTTTCTGTTTGTACTCTTCTGGTCGGTGGAGGTACATGGCTGCAGCGTCACCATTTAGAGGATCTATAGGATTGGGATAAGCCAGCAGCTGGGGCAGGAACGACTCAAATATATTGGTGAGATCTGCAAGATGAAAACAAAATTGATGTTTGTGTCCCCTCATCCCATAAAAAAAAAAACACCCATCCTGGAATATCCAGAGGTACAAATTCCAAAGGGAAACGCGCTGGGAATGTGGGGATGAGGTGAAATCGAGGGGGTTAAATTAGAAATTAAAATGAGGGTTGATGGAAAAGCTCCTGACAAATTCCTCATCCTTTCACGTGAATTATCCATGGGTTAAGCAAGGAAAGGGATGGGATTTTCCTGATTTTTAATCCTGGCTTGGAAAATTAGGAAAAATTCCAAAGAAACGGAGCTGGGCTTTGCCCTTCCATGAATTCTTTGCCTTTTCCAATCTTTAAATGGAATGTTCCCTGCCCACAGAGCAGGGCTGGAGCTCAATCTCTGAGGTCCTTCCAAGCCCAAGCATTCCATGAGTCCATGGAAAACTCTTCCAGAGTTTTTGTTAATAGGAACCACCGCTCCTCCATCTCCAAAGAATTCAGGGAATGAGCAGAGATCCCACGAGCATGGAATCTGTCACCCAAGAATCCACAGGAAATCTCCTGGTGCCCAGGAGTGACTGTGGATACACAAAATCCTCTTCCCAAATCCCTGAGAGGAGAAATTCCCTGTTCCAAAGGACAAATTCCCTGTTCCAAAGGACAAATTCCCCATTCCAGAGGACAAATTCCCCATTCCAGGGGGCAAATTCCCCATTCCAGGGGGCAAATTCCCTGTTCCAGAGGACAAATTCCCCATTCCAGGGGGCAAATTCCCCATTCGAGGGGACAAATTCCCTGTTCCAGAGGACAAATTCCCTTTTTTAGAGGACAAATTCCCCGTTCCAGATGTTAAATTCCCTTTTCCAGAAGACAAACTCCCCATTCCAGGGGGCAAATTCCCCATTCCAGAGGACAAATTCCTCATTCCAGAGGACAAATTCCCTGTTCCAGATGTTGAATTCCCCGTTCCAGATGTTAAATTCCCCATTCCTGGGGACAAATTCCCCATTCCAGAGGACAAATTCCCTGTTCCAGATGTTGAATTCCCCGTTCCAGATGTTAAATTTCCCGTTCCAGAGGACAAATTCTCCATTCCAGGGGACAAATTCTCCCTTCCAGGGGACAAATTTCCTGTTCCAGATGTTAAATTCCCCATTCCAGATGTTAAATTCCGCATTCCAGAGGACAAATTCCCCATTCCACAGGGCAAATTCCCCATTCCAGATGTTAAATTCCCTTTTCCAGAAGACAAATTCCCCATTCCAGAGGATAAATTCCCTTTTCCAGATGTTAAATTCCCCATTCCAGATGTTAAATTCCCCGTTCCAGATGTTAAATTCCCCGTTCCAGATATTCAGGAACCAGCCCTGTGCCATCATTCCTCCCTGGGAACATTCCTGGAGTGAGGGAATTGCTGTTGGAACATTCCAGAAATCTTTTATCCGTCTCTCTTTCCTCATGGCAGGGAAATCCCGAATCAGAATCCAGAATCTGGGAATCCCATCTCTCCCACCACCAGGAGCAGTGAGACCACCCCAACCCTTCCTTTTCCCTGGAAAAAGAATCCCATTCCAGAGTCATCACTGATCCACTGAACTCAACCAGATCCTGGAATTCTCAACTTCCCAAAAAAATTCACCAAAAATTTAGTGAAATTTCGGTGAAAAAAAGAAGGAGGAGATTTCCAGGTGCAAAAAGCTCTGGATGCAACCACGGAATTCCAGGCTCCGTGTGGTGCCCAGGTTTGTCCTGGATGGAACACAGAGCACAACAACACCTGGAAAAATCAAAAAAAAATTCAAAAAGATCCTGGAAAAACTGCAGGGATGCTCTGTGTGGGAATTCCCTGCTGTGGAGAATTCCCAGGGATTGGATTCGGGCACCGGCAGCAAAAAGTTGATTTTTAATTTGTAAAATTTGGGTTGAGTCTCTTGGATCTAAAGGCTCTTTGTGGCCACTGAAACTTCCTGAGGATGAGGAAGAAAATCCCTGGAATTCCCTCCCTGGATCATGGGACACTCAGCATAATGATTTTTTTTTTTAAGGAATCTTCTCCCCAACGCCCCAAATTGTTGCTGGTTCAGCAGGAGAGGGTGGAACACAAGCAGGAATTCCAACCCCAGCACTGAGGAGCTGCTGGAAGCAGCAGGAATCAAACCATGAAATCCTCAGGAATTTTTTTTGGTGGATATTCCAGGTTTTTCCCACCTTGGTTGCCGCTGGAATTATCCCAGATCCTTCGTCAGCTCTGTTTTAAAGGGGCAAAAACTCCAAAAAAAAAAAGCAATTTTGAAAGATTTTCCAATTCTTGGCGCCACAGAGGGAAGAAAATCCTTGGAAGTGGCGTTGGAATCTTGGATTGGTGAATTTAGAGGGAATTCAGCCATCCCAAAATTCTGCAGCTCCAAGGTAGGACCCGGAATGCTGGAGCACAAAAACCGCTGGAATTATTTCATTTTTATGGAAAAGTGGCAACGCTGATCTCCCACAACAAATCCACGCTGAGATCCTCATCACCACACTGGGAATTCCAGCATTCCAACCAGGAATTCCAGCTAAAATCAGTTTTCCAGGGAAGAACCTGAAGGATTTGATGTCCACAATCCCCTGAATTTCTCCCACAAAGCATAACTGGAATATCTGAAATTCTCATTTTTTAATGGAAGCTCAGCTGTGTTCTTTTTTTATCTTTATTTTATATTTTTTTAATTTTTTTTTTAAACTTAGATATAACTTTATTTATCTTTTTCTTTTATTTATTTTATTACATTTATCTTTTTTTTTTTAATATATTTTTCTTTTATATCTTTATCTCTAAAAAGTAAATTTTTAATCAGAAATGACCCCATGGAAACCACTCTGCAGCACCAGGGGCAAAAATACAACCTGCAAAAAAAATAATCTTATTTTTCTTGAGATCTTGGCTCAGGGAGGAATTTAAAAAATTTCAAATTCAGTAAAAAAACCCCAAAATTAAAGAAAAAATGAACCCCAAAAGTGGCCAAAAATCATCTTTTCACCCCAACACAGAGGAAAATTCCCAACTCACCGTAGAGAGCTGTCCAAGTTTGATTGATTACATCTAGACATACAGTTCCTGACCTGAAACACATGGAAAAAAAAAAGGAATTAACATTGCAAAACACTCTGGGAATTAAAAAATATCAAAAATCAAAAATCCTCCCCAACCCCTTGCCCAGGGTTTGGGATAAACCCTGATTTATTCCTATTTAAACCCTGATTTATTCCTATTTAAACCCTGATTTATTCCTATTTCTGGTCTTTAACCACCTCAATTTTCCCACTTTGCCCAAGAGGAAAGAAATTGGAATTTTACTGCTAAGGAAGCTCCAGAGAAGCAGAAAAAATCTGGGAAAATATTTGGAATTTTGAAGGATTTAACAGGGACACAAAAAGAGATTTACTTACGCTTCGTCGATGTTGGGATGGAAGATTTTATTCATGAATCCTGTGAGGAGACACAAAAGGAAATGAGCAGGAAAAAAAAACACAAATAAATGTAATTATTTCCATTTATTAGTAAATATAAAATATTTACAAAATAGTATAAATATTAATAGATTTATAAAATTGATAAATTTAAATTTATAAAATATTAAAATGTTTATAAAACAAATATTCCAGGCTTGAGAAACCTGGAATTTATGGAACAAGGATTCATCCATGAGCTCAGCAAAGCTGATGAAGTGCAAGAATTTATTTAGAAGTGGAAGAATAGACATTGAACACAAATTTCAGTTTAATATTTGATTTTTTTAAAGATATTTTTCCTGACAGAGGTTTCCTGTGAGCTCGAAATCACGATATTTATCTACAATTGTGAGCCAGGGAGGTAATAATTCATATTTTCTATTAATTAATTTTCTTTTTGGTGCCTTTGGTCTCCTAAAAACCTACTCAGGTGATGTTTAGGAAGAGGGAATTCGATGTGGCTTTGTCTAAATTTCAGATTTCTGGATTTGAGATGGATATTTTTCCTACTAAGCCATAAAATAAATTATTTAAATTAATTTTTTTAAATTAAATTGTTTAAATTAAATTAAACCCCTGTGGTTTTCAAGCCTTACCCAGCAGAAGGTGCCCCACACTTTATCAAAATTTATCAGAATTTATAATTTATCAAATTTATCAAAAGATAAATTTTAATTTTATCAATTAATTAATTAAATTTTATTTTAAATTTTACTTTGAGTTCAAGATGGTTGGAAGCTCTAAACACTCTTTTTTACCCCATAAATAATGATAAAATAAAACAAATCAATGGAATTATGCTCCACCCCAAAAAATGCTTCCAGTGATGGCTGAGAGCGGATGCAGAATCCAAAATCCCAAATTTTTCAACAGAAGGAACCCAAATATCTGGATTTGGACACAAACATGGAACAGGGATGGAATTAATTCCTGAATTTCTGGCTTGGATAAATCGTTTGGGATCTGGTGGATCCATCCAGAAGCTTCTTCCAAATCTTGGTGTTGCTTTTTTTTTAACTGAGGAATTGAAATAAATCCTCTTTTTTTTTTCTTGTTGTGTCACCATCTCCCAGCCCCAAAATCCGTACAAAATGTGGTCCAGGTGGGAATTTCCATGAATTCTGCAGGAATCCTTTTAAAACCAGCAGTTATTGCTTCTGACAAGGATAAAAACAGGGAATTAATTCAAATCCGGGATATTGATGGGAAAAAAAAACCTCCTTCCAGGACTCCAAAAAAAAGGGAATTTTTCTTCCCAGATAAACCCTAAAAAAACTAAAAAATTCTATTTTTTACCAATTAAAAAAGCTCCAAATCATCCCAAATTTTCATCCATCCTCTCCAGGTATTGGAATTTCACCCCTGCCCAATCCCAGGTTGGGATTGAAGCCTTTTCCTTCCCATAAATTCTGACACAAACAGAATTCCAGCTTCTCTTGGATTGCAGGATTTTGGACAAATCCAAGGCTGAGACCGGAATCATCTCTGAGAGGAGAATTCCATCAACACCTCCAGGCTAATAAAGTGAATTTTGGGAATAACTTGGTTGGATTCAGCTGGAAAAACAAATTTAAATTTAAAATTTAAAAAGGGAATTTGGAATTCCATCGAATATTTACATCCTGCAGCTCCCACAAGTTTAAATCAGGTCACGGATCCGTTTTGTCGGAGCTGAGCTGAGGAGATCCCGATCCTAAATCCTGCCAGGTTTTTTTGGGGGAAAAACCAAATAATTGGGAATAATCCTTTCCTTGGTGTTGTCCTTGGATTTGAGCTTCCCAAATGGAAGAGCTGCTCTCCAGCATTTTTTTATTTATGTGTATTAATATTTATTTATTTAATATTTAATAGAAATACTTAATAGAATTAAATATTATAAATTGTAAAATTTCAATATATTAAATTATTAATTTTTATATATTAATATATTTATAAATATATTTATTATTTTAATAATAATAACAACATAATAATATATTAATATAATGTTATATTGTATTAATATAATTATTATATTATTATAATTATTATATTATTATAATATAATTGTTATATAATATGATATAATATTGTATTATATATTATATAATAATAATACTAATAATATAAATACTACTACTACTAATAATAATAACAAAAAAAATTATAATAATAAATTTTAAAATAATTTCAGGAGAAATCTGTGAAATCTTGGATGGAATTCAATGAAATTTCCAAAATAAAATGAAATTAAATCCAGCTGCACTCCTGTACTGGCTGCCACAATACATGAATTCTATAAATATTTATAAATATTTATATATATTTATATTCCATATGTTCTGGGTGTTTTGTTTGGGGGGAAAAAAGGGAAAATAGAAATGCAAGGGAAAACTGAAATATCTGCAGGTAACTGGGACACAGATGGAGGAAAATGAGAACTGGAAAAATATAATAAATATAAATAAAATATAATAATTCACATAACCTAATATAGAAATAAAGACAGCAAATTTATAAATATATATAGAATTTATAAATAGAACTTAAAAAAATATTTTTATAAGAAGTTTATAAATATATTTAATATAATACAAAATATATCAATATCTATTATATTATATTTATTTAATATATAAACATATAATATATATTATATATTTATATATTATACTTATATATACATATATATAAAATATATATAAATATATATTATAAAATATATTATATATAAATATATAGAAATATATATAAATGTATATATAAATATATGTATTTATCTATAAATAGATAATATAAATATAGAAAGTATAAAAATATAAAAGCTTTATAAAAATATGTAACATATATTGAATTTATTTGAGATATTTATGATCTGGGCATTTTGAATGTAAATTTTTCAGCTGTGGCATTTGATTATTAATAAATGTTATTAACTATTAATATACTAATAATAATTAGATATAAAATATATATTAATAATAGTAATTATTAACAATTACAATAATAATTATATATAACTATATTATATAATACATAGAATATTTACATATAATATAAATATATATAATAAATATATATAATTATATAAAAAGATATATAATTATATAAAATATTATATATAAAATTATATATATATTAAATAGAACATTATTAATTATTAATAAATCCCTTGCTGGCCTAATATTCCTGCAGATTTTTAAAGAAATAATAATTAAATAGTAAATAAACTCCAAGTTCCCAGCTGGGTTTTGCTGCTCCTGTATCCAAGGCAGAACATTCCCAATCTGAATTTTCCTCCTGATTAAAAAAAACACCAAATTCCCAAAAAATTTTCTCTTGGGAGCTCCAGGAATCCCTTAAAGCTCCTCTTTGGAAAAGCAGGAAAGTTCTCCTGAAGATTTTAAATCCCAAGGAAATCATAAATAGCTCCAAACAATCAGGAAATGGAAGCAGACACAAACATGGAATTGTTTCCTGAAAAATGCAGGTATATTCCCAAAAAATTTACTCCAGGAGCAGCAAAAGGAGCAAATTTTGTTGGGAACAACTGCTCCAGTTCAAGCCTGAAAATTGGGATATTTTGGGATTTATTTATCCTGATGGGAGAACTCAAACCCAGAGCCAAATTTGTTGCAATTCCTGGTTTTCCTGGGATTTCCCTTTTGGGGAATTTTGGGATTAATCCCTTTTTTGGGGGGGAATTTTTGGATTAATCCTTTTTTTTTTAGGAATTTTGGGATTAATCCCTTTTTTTGGTGGAATTTTGGGATTAATCCCTTTTTTGCGAGGAATTTTTGGATTAATCCTTTTTTTTGGGGAATTTTTGGATTAATCCCTTTTCTGGGGGGAGTTTTTGGATTAATCCTTTTTTGGTGGAATTTTGGGATTAATCCCTTTTTTTGGGAATTTTTGGATTAATCCCTTCTTTTTGGGGAAATTTTTGGATTAATCCCTTTTTGGGGGGGGTAATTTTTGGATTAATCCCTTTTTTGGGGGGAATTTTTGGATAAATCCCCTTTTTTTTGGGGGAATTGCTCCTTTAGGAATTCCCAAAATATTCCCACCTTTCCCAAGGACACCTCTGAAAAAAAAAAAAAAAGAGAGAAATACTCCAAAAAATTCACATTTTTCACAAAAAATCCACACCAGCATCAAAGATTATTTAGGATTGAAGAAATATTTTAAATTCCAGTCCTGGAATACCAAATTAAAGGGATGATGTTTTTAAACTTTGGGATAAAGGTGGAATTTCTTCAAGGAAAAAGATCTGAACCTCAGCTAATGTTGGTTCTATCAGGCCTTACCTTGAGTTTTTGATGTTTTTCTGCTGGGATTTACTCCAAAAAAAAATCATTCTTTATTTCCTATTTCTCCTCCATTTGGGCTTTTATCCAGAATATTCACCATTATTAACAGGAAAAACCTAAAAACTGGAATAAACTCGGGTACCTGAAGATATCCCAGGTGGTTTCCTGCTCCCCAAGGATGGATCCAAGATAAAAATAATTTCCTAATCCAATTTCCTATCGCTCTCCAAGGTGAAACAAGCCTGAGAAGTCAAGCCAGTGGGGTTTTTTTTTTGGTGATAAATCCCTGCTTTTTAGTTATTCCACAAAAGTATTCCCTGCTCCAAGAGGATGGAGGCTTCAGTAGGAGAATTTCCATGTTTTTGGACAGAAAATCCCAAAAGTTGGGTTCTCCCCAAGACCCTGAAATTTGGTTTTTGCTCCACCACCCAAAAACTGATTTATTATTAAAAAAAAAACATGGAAATTGAGATTTAATTGACCAACACACAAAAATACGCAACCAAATCCCACTCCCAGCTCTTCCTCCTTCCAAAGCTCAAAATTCCTCTCTCCTTGGGATCTGAAATCCCATAAAAAACATTTTGCAGGCTCCGAAGTCTTTCCACTGCGCTGGTACCACACTCCACCTGCAAATTTTAGGCACAAAACCGCAGGACTTGGATGGAAAATGAGGAATTTTTTACCTATAGACGGGGATTTGAAGGGGTATTTGTCAGGAAGGTCGACTCTAACTTTCCATACTCCACCTTCATACGGTGCTGCAAGGGAGGAAAAACAGGAATTAAACATTCCAAAGATGAGGAGACGATCAACAGAAACAGAATTATGGAAAATACAGCTCTGGAATAATCCAAAGCTCCACTGGGGGGTGAGATTCCAAAGCAAAGCTCCCATGGGAAAAATAATTATTAAATAATAATAAAATTAATTTTTTAAAAAAATAAATAATAAAATAATATTATTTATTATTTTATTATTTTATTACTATTATTTAATAATATTATTTAATAATAAATAATAAAATAAAAATTTAAAATAAATTAAAATTTCTTTCCTGCTCTGCTTGATTTGGGATAATCTCCTTACCTTTGGTGCTAAATTAAATGCAAAAATCATTTTAATGACAAACTCCATGGAAATTTCTGTGACTGATATAAATTTTGCCAGATCTAGGAAAATTCAGGGATGCTGAAGGATTTTTCCAGAGGCTCAATCTCCAAGGGATGGGATTTATCCCTGCTCATGCTCACAGCTGGATCCTCCCCACCCTCCACAAGGTGTTTCCCTGGATTTTTCTCCATTCTCCCCCCTCTGGAATGTCATTTCCTCATTCCCCCACCACAAATCAGTGGATTGGGGTTGGTTTTTTTATTCTGGAAGGGTTGGATCCCAAACTTACTTCCTTGTGGTCCGTAGAACTTCACGACAAATTCGTTGAGTCCTCCCAAGATGGTGACTTCGTGTTTGCTCTCGATCCTGATGAGGTGAGTCAAGGAAAAATACCCAGGAAACCAAACCCCATCACTCAGATCCAAGGAACTCACTCCCAAATATCCCAAATATCCAAGGAATTCACTCCCAAATATCCCCACGTGGAATTTCCTGACACATCCAGGTGATCACAGCACCACAATTCCTCACCCCTTCCCCCGCCCTGAGGAATTTTGGGATGAATCCTCCAGAGTTTTCCATCCTCTCCCGCACGGATTTGGGGCGAGAAATTGAAATTGAATTGTGTTTGAAATAACTGGTGATGCTCTGATGAATTCCATTGTCGCCCTCACTCCCTGCAAATCGTGGCAATCTCAAAATCAAAATCAAAAGTTAATTTGATTTGCAAGACCAAAAAAAATTCCCCAATCTTGGGAGAGATGGCGCGGAAAGAACGATGGGAAGAAGGGAATACAAAGGGAAAGGCAAGTGGGAAGAAGGGAATACAAAGAGGAAAAGGCAGGAAATCTTTATTTCAAGAAGAAAATTTTTTTATAGAATATTATTAAATTCTTTTTATTGCCAAGAGAGGCTCAGTTAAGACAATCAGTGGTGGAGTTTCGGCGCTGAAGCTTGATAAGGAATTCTGCTAATATCTAACTAATATCTGCTAATAACTAACCCTGTAAATCAGGGTTAATGGATTGGGAATAAAGAATTTGGGAATAAAAAAATGGATTGGGAATTGCTGTAGGATCCTACAGCGATTTCCTCTCATCAGGATAAGAATTACAAGAGAAGCAGGAGAAAATCAAAGGTTTGTTCCCACCTGAACTTTGGCTCTGCAGCATCGAGGCTGCTCCCATTTGAGGGAAGGGAACAGGGAATATTTCATATACAGATCCTTCACATCCCAGCAGGAGCTTGGCAGGAATGTTCCAGCTGCAGGGAACTAAAAGCAGATTCCTCTTTGTTTTGGTTTTTTCCCCTTGGATTGAAAAGATTTCCTGTTTTCACGGCACAAAATTTACCCAGGATTGCGGGAATTTCATCCACTCCCACCTTGGACCTCGATGACTGAAATATTCCCGACCCACCAGGAATTCTCAACCTGCAGGAACAAAGAATTCCCAACTCAGACTTTAAATCCCAACCTATGAAACTTGTGGGATTTCACACAGGGCTGCGTGAGGCTCCTGCATCCCAAATTCCCGACTCCACACCCGCCGTTTTTTGCGACGGGATCCAAGTTCCATCCGTGGGGTCCCTCAGGATTTAATCCAATTCCTCAAGTAAAAAAAAAAAAACTCCCAGACTGGACAGGTTTTTCCCACAGCATCAGCTCCAAAAGGATTTTGGACACAAAAACCTCGTTCTCATGGAGAGAGGGAAAAGTTTACGGCCGTTTGGCTCTGGAATTTTCTCGGTTCGGAGCTTGAGCTGCTCTGCCCTAAAATTCCACGGCAAGGAGCTCGCTGCACCCGGCAGCAGCTCACAAAGGGCAGGAGGAAAACAAAAAATGCCCTCAGTGGAAGCGATTTTCCAGCTGAAATCCAACGGGAATATCTGGGAAAAGCGGCGTCGCCGCGGGTTTGTGGCGAGGAGCATCCCAAGGAAACGTCGCGGTCGCTTTTCCCGACGCCGATTTGTCACCGGATCTTTCCGTGTCACACTCAGAACCACGAGTTTTGGAGTTTAATTCCTTCGGAAATGTATCCCTGGATAACTTTTCCAGGTTCCCAAACTCTTCCAGGCTGTGCAGTGATGGCCCAGAGAATGTTTAACACCGGAGGATTTTCACACTCGCGGCAGCTTCACGGATCAGGTTAAGCACAAATGGTTTTATTTAGGACTAAATCAAGTCCTGCTTAATAAAAACCAGCTCTCCCAGCCTGATCCTCAGCTCCCTGAATTAATTCCAACTGTAAATTAAACCTGAGTTTTCCACACTTTGGATTCCTGCTGTTTGCCAAACTCGAAAAATATTTGTGAGCCTCATGGGGTCACATCTGAATATTGTCCTTGTTGTGGCAAAGACCTAAAATTCCTAAAAAAATCGGTTTGGTGAATGAAGTTTGTGAAAGGGAGGAATATTGGGATGAAAGTTTTGGGAATAACCACGTTGTTTATTGACACAACACCAGGAATTTTTCATTGTGAGGGTGCTGAGATCCCGGCACAAATTCCCAGAGAAGCTGTGGTTGCCTCTGGATCCTTGGAAGTGTCCGAGGATGGGCTGGAGATCGGGGTTTGGAGCAGCCTGGGATAGAGGGAGATGTCCCTGAAAATGGTTTGGGTTGGAATTGGGTCATTTTTAACTGGAAAATCCCACCCAAACCATTCCCTGACTGAAAATAAAGTGGATTTCGGCAACGAATTGCATCAACACGGGGGGAATCTCTGGAAATGAAGCTGGGAATGACGATTTTTTCCCTTGGAATGAGGTGAATTCCAGGTGACACAGCTGGGGGGGAACAAGCTGCCCTCTCCCTTCTCCAGCAAGGAAAAGATGCCCAGGAATGGGAAATCTTGGAATCATTCCAGGAGAACTGCACGGAGAGAAGATTTCAAACCAATATTTTTCCATCTCCAGGAATTCTTCAAGGAAGGAAAGAGTCACTGCAGAAACTGGGACTCTGGGAAATCCAGGAATCTCAACAGACCTTCTCCATCCCAAAAATTATCCCAGGAATAAGCACAGGGGAACAGCAGGAGGGATTGGAAACCTTCGGAGCTGTGTCCAGACCACATTCCCAGAGAAAACTCCACCGGAATTCCCGGCAGTGAAGAACGCAGGATCTGATCCATCGGCTCTCTCTGGATTTTTCCGTAAGGAGGGAATCTCACAGCCGAATCCCAGATGAATTCCATCCCAAACACGCCAGGAATTCATCAGCAGCCTCGGATCCAGGAGATGTGTGGAGAGCCAAAACCCCAAAGGAGCCCAGCTGAGGATCCTCTCCTGTATCCAGGCTCCGGTGACGGATCCTGCAGCGATTCCAAGGAATTCCCAGGAAAGGAGCACCCAGAACTCAGAGCAGGATTCCCTGGGATTGCCAGGTTTGTATCCGGAATTCCCAGCCACCCCTTTCATTGGATATTGATGTGTATCCATGCAGAAATCCCCCAGGAATTCAACCACAAATATTTTGGGAAGATAATTTTGGAAGATTCATTTTTTTTTGGACTTTTTTAGTTGACCCAGTTGTGCCCAAATTCTGTCTCAGTGCGCTTTTCATCAGTCAAATTTCCAAAAAAATCCAAGAAATTAAGGAATAAAGAGGTAATAATAAGAAATAATAAGATTATAATTGATTTTATATATATGTAAAATATATATGTAATAGATAAAATATACAATATATCTAATATATAATATGTATTATAAGATATAATATATTATATATAATAAATATATTATAATATATAATATATTATTATATATTATATATTGTATATTGTATATTATATATATTTATATTCCTCATCCTCATGCAGAGCCACCCACCACTGCAAGGCTGGATAAAAAAAAAATTAAAAGTAAAAACAAAATAAGTAAAAATAAATAAAATAAGTAAGTAAAAATAATAAATAAGTAAAAAATTTAAATAATTAAAAATAAATAAATGAAATCATAAATAAAAAGAAACAAAATAATAAATAAAAATAATTAAATTAAATAATAATTGAAAATAAATTAAATAATAAAAATAGTTAAATATTAATTAAAAACAAATAAATAAAATAAATTAAAATAAATAATTTAAATAAGTAAAAATAAAATAATAAATAAAAATAATTAAATTAAACAGTAAAATAAATATATGAAATAAAAATAAATAAAAATAATAAAAATAATTAAATTAAATAAGTAAAAATAAAAAAATAAATTACTAAAAATAAAAAAATAAATATAAATAGACCCATAAATATAATTAAAAAAATAAATAACACATAAATTACTATAAATAAATAATAATAATAAAAAATCAAATCAAATAATAATAAAAAATATGTTAAGATTTGACTTCACACCCAAATCCCAGATGAACACCATGGCCTACAGATGCTCTGTTCACAGGGTTCAGTGGCTTTTTCCTGGCAAACATTTAACTCCACAACAAAAAATAAAGAAGGAAAAAAAAAAATCCTTTCATTAAGTTTCTTTAAAATTAACATTAGTTACAAGCTGAGATTAATGCTCAGCCAGTTGATTTTTTTTCCATAAAAAAGCTTTACACCACCTGTCCTATGGAAATCTGAGGTGTCAGAAGTTGAATTTGAAGGAAAACCAAACATCACACCTGAAAAGATTTCAAAAATAAAATAAAGAAATCCAGCTCAATTTATGGAATTCTCGAGGATTTATGGAGTTTTGGGGTCTGTGGGCAAGTTCAAACCTTTGGAAACTGATTTTCCTCCTCCAAAATCCCTCCTTTTCCTGACACAGCATCCCCAGGTGAACCTGAAACCATCACCGGGGTTTTGATGCTTTAAGGAATATTTATCCCTATTTTCCCTTTATTCCTGTTTTTCCCAACTTCCCTCTGGCTCCTCCAGCCCTGCAGAACACCAGGGAAAAAAAAAAAAAGGGATTTTTACAAGTTAAAAAGGTTATAAAGGCCACAAAAAAGCAGTGAGGAGTAGCAAGAGGCGGATTTTTAACATTTGATTTGTTGTAAACTTCTTGAGAAATCTGGGCTAAAATTATTCCAAAATTAAAATCCTGGTTTTCCTCAAGTCAGGAATTCTCACAGCACCCTCAGAGTTTCTCCCTTTGAGCAAAGCAACCCCAGGTTTTGTTATTTATATATCCAAGGATCTTCTGTTCAACAATTCCTGGGGCAAATCCCAACTTTTCCTTCCTCTGGATTCTCCCTCTACTCTGCCCTGGTGAGATTCCACCTGCAGCCGGATTCAGCTCTGGGGTCGGCAGCAGAGGAAGCTGGAGCTGCTCCAAAGGTTTCCCTCTGCTCCAGAGCCAGGCTGGGAAAGCTGGGAATGTTCTCCTGGAAAAGGGAAGGATCCAGGGAGAGCTTCCAGCA